GGGAGGAAGGGGAGGAGGAAGTGGAAGGGGGAGGGGGAGGAAGAGAGGAAGGGAGGAAGGGGAGGAGGAAGTGGAAGGGGGGAAGGAGGAGGAGGAGTTAGGAGGGAGGGAGGAGGAGGAAGAGGAAGAAGAAAGGAGGAGTAGAACAAGGAGGAGGGCAAATGGGAGGGGGAGGAGGAAGAAGAGGAAGGGGGAGGGGGAGGAAGAAAGGAGGAGGATGGGGAAGAGAAGGGGAGGAAGACAGGAGGAAAAAGAGGAAGTAGAAGGGGGAGTAGAAGGGAGAAGAGGAGAGGAGGGGAGAAGGAGGAGGCGGAGGAGGAGGAGGAAGTAGAAAGGGGAGAAGAAAGTGGAATGGGGGAGGGGGAAGAAGTGGAAGAGAGGGGAGGAGGAAGAAGAAGAAAGGAGGAGGAAGAGGGGAAGTGGGAAGGAGGAGGAAGAGGAAGTGGGGAGAAGGAGGAAGAAAGGAGGGGGGTAAGGGTTAATCCTCTCACAGTTACAGCATTTGAGCCAGGTCTCACCTACTCTGTACTTATTATTATTATCTTCTTTTAATGTCCCCATAATCCTTTGCGGGGTGGAGTCTGTGCAATTGAATGGAGCTGTGTTTACTGGCCAGACACCTTTCCTGTCACCAGTGCGGAGTTTTATTCAGCAGATATAATCTCATTGTGCCCAGAGAGAGAAATATCTGCCTCTACCTAGGATCGAAGTTCCCTCTCGCCCTCCCTGCTATTGAGTCAGGTACCACCTGTTCTAATGCCTACGCGCATTCCGTTTTTCCTTGCCTAATTGCGTGACGTCAACCCCGCCCTACGGAGAACCTCCCTCAGCTCACCTGATGGTGTTGCTCAGAACTCTGCGGTTAAAAAACTCCTCGAGACCTTCATCCAGTCTGGGCCCCAACCCATTCTCCTGTTCTCGGGATTCCAGGGAACGAAAAATTCGGTTCTGAAAGAGAAGAAAAGCACCAGGATCTGTTCATTCTTCCCATTCTTCTCCGGGTGTCAACTCGCAAAGCATCCCTGGCCTGCTCTCGAGTTGCCATAGGCGAGGGGGATGGGAATCTGATGAAGCCGCACGGCAGTCACAAACAGAAGCGCATTCCAGGCATATCTTTCCCAAGGCTGTCTCCCCGGTTACCCGCAGCAGCCGAAGGGGCGTGATCTCTACAGCCTGAGAAAGTACTCCATTGGAAAATGTGATTTGCGACACACCCTGGGGGAGCGGGGGAAACAGGGTCCTAATCGGGCCGTAAATTACGTGGGGTCAGAGTTGGCTTCACTTGTGCACAAGCCGACATGCTGCTCCTAATAAATAACTGGATTTCTTTTGAAGCTCGGCTCGAGGCTCATGATTTAATTAGGGCATCTGTCAGATCCCTGACACAGGGGTGGTGTCAAACTCGATTTCGTTGAGGGCCAAATTTCTGCTGCACAGCGAAAACCGTTGTGAAGCGAGTTTTTGTCCCCTTTTACAACCCTTCTTGCCACTGTCCACAATTGTCTTTGAAAAACATCCGGATTCCCGAGAAGCCGGAGCGAGGGATTTAGTGATTTAGTGATTTAGTGATTTATTGACATTTNAGTCCTGCTTTAGGCATGAAAGCCGGCTGGGTGACTTTTGGCCAGACACCAGGAGGCAGGGAGTTCTAGTTCTGGTTTAGGCATGAAAGCCGATTGGGTGACTTTGGGCCAGACACCAGGAGACAGGGAGTTCTAGTCCTGCTTTAGGCCTGAAAGCTGGCTGGGTGACTTTGGGCCAGACACCAGGAGACAGGGAGTTCTAGTCCTGCTTTAGGCATGAAAGCCGTCTGGGTGACTTTCGGCCAGACACCAGGAGACAGGGAGTTCTAGTCCTGCTTCAGGCATGAAAGCTGACTGGGTGACTTTGGGCCAATTACCAGGAGACAGAGAGTTCTAGTCCTGCTTTTGGCATGAAAGCCCGCTGGGTGACTTTGGGCCAGACACCAGGAGACAGAGAGTTCTAGTCCTGCCTTAGGCGTGAAAGCCAACTGGGTGACTTTGGGCCAATCAACCAGGCAACAGTGAGTTCTAGTTCTACCTTAGGCATGAAGCCAACTGGGTGATTTGGAGCCAATTATCAGGAGAAAGTGAGTTCTTATCTAGTCCTGATTTAGGTATAAAATCCGCTGGCTGATTTTGGGCCAATCACCAGGCGACAGTGAGTTCGACTCCCACCTTAGCTGTGAAAATCAGCTGGGTGACGTTAGGCTAATCAGCAGGAGACAGTGAGTTCTAGTCCTGCCTTAGGCACGAAAGCCAACTGGGTGGTCCAGTCCCTCTCTCTCTAAGTCAACCCACCTCGCAGAGTTGTTGTTGTGGGGAAAACAGGCGTGGGAAAGAGTATTAGGTACATTCCCCAGAATCGAAAAGCCAGGACAAATAAATAGAATAAATAGAATAAATAGAACATTAATTTTAGGAAAGAACCCCTTCGGGAGAGCACTTCCTTCTTTGACTTTAAACCGATTTTTAACCGATTTTAAGCCGCAGACCCATTGAAGTCACCCATACGTCAAAAAGAGCTTCCTTTGGCCACACGACGCCCCCAGACTCATATTTGTAAGGGGAGGGGGACCCAAGCTGAGAAAGTTAGATGATGCTTCCTACCGGTGTCATCCGAAGACCGTCTCCTGTGCTGCTCCCGTAGACTTCCCGTCCTTTGCTCCATTTCAACACTCTACCCAAGGAAGAAAGCCGAGGAGTTACGTCCCACAGGCCAGAATAACAAAATAACCAAAGGGACATTGGAGGTCTTCTAGCCCAACCCCCTGCTCATGCAGGAGACCCAAGACCCAAGACGGCGAACCTATGGTGCGTGTGCTGCAGGTGGCACGCAGAGCCCTCTCTGCGGGCACGCGAGCCATCGCCCCAGCCCAGCTCCGTTGTGCATGCGCGCCTCCCACTGGCCAGCTGATTTTTGAGTCTCTGCTGCGCATGCGCAGGGCGCATGCGAGAGATGCATGTGCATGCATGAGTGGAGGTGCGAGTCATGTGTGCATGCACGGGGGCAGGGGGAGCGCAGGGTGTGTGGTGTCCACCCCTGTGGCCCACCCCCCCTAGCGGGCCGCTTTTGGTCTCAGGAGGCTATAGGGAGCCTTACTAGGCCCAAAATGGGGCATAGGACAGGGGGGTGCAACGCCGCTGCCCCCCCTGGCCGATTTTTGGTCTCAGGAGGCTTCAGGGAGGCCTACTAGGCCCAAAATGGTCTCCCCCCTCCCTCCCTCCCTCCCTCCCTCTCTCTCTCTTCTCTCTCTCTCGGCACAAAAAGCCAAGGCATTATAAAGCGATATTAACACTTCATGTGATCTTGATTCTATCTGTTCTGACTGAGGCTTCCCGAGAGCAGGAAGCAAACTCCTTGTCCCAACAAAAACCCCTTTTATTAATTGACTGTGAATTCTGCTCCTTCCCATCCAGCAAAGTCTTTCGAGGGAAGATTTACGGTCACAGAATTCATCTGGCTTGGAGAGCGGCCAGTTCGAGATCCTCAAAACTCAGCAAGGAGTCTCGGAGAGTCCCGGAGAGTCCCACTAATTGCCTCCTGCAAACTCCACTCCCCTGGCGCTCCTCTTTTATTTCCTCTGGGAGGGGCCATTCACCGTCCACCTGTGGCCTTCCTCCCAAGTCGACCCCTGTTCTTTAGTTCTTCCCTTCCTCTGGCAACTCTGCACACACTAGGAACAGGCTCCAGCTGTTCTTCTGCCTCACTGATGTCTGACTCCGAAGGCAGCTGATAACTG